AAAAGAAAACAGCCGCATCAAAGTAATAGAGGGAGCTAAACACAACTTGCCTGATACTGATGCCCAGAAGGCAGCTGAGGAGATCAAGCATTTAGCCAGTGAGCTGACAGAGAAAGACTTGCTTCTTGTACTGATTTCAGGTACGAATGGCACTTCTTGGTTATTGTTAAAAATAATAAAACAATAATCGTTTCACAGATATCATTAAAATATTAATTTAAATTCAGTTTTGTTTATATAGCACCAATTCACAACAACAGTCACCTCAAGACACTTTATAGTGTAAAATGAAGACCCTTCAAAAATACAAAGAAAGCCCCAACAGTCAGAAGAAATTTTAAGCCTAATGTTAAAAGTAGAGAGGGTGTCTGAAAAGCTGAAGGCTCTGCCTTCCATTCGACTTTTAAAATACTAGGAACCACAAGTCAACCTGCTGTCTGAGAGTATAGCGCTCTATTGGGGTGATACGGTACCCTGAGGTATTTAAGATAAGATTGTGCCTGATGATCCAAGACTTTGTATGTGAAGAGAAGGATTTTAAAAATTGATTCTGGAGAAATATGCTTTGTCTTTCTAGCCCCTGTCAGTACTCTCTGCAGCATTTTAGATTAGCTAAAGGCTTTTCAGGGAATTTAGTCCACGATAATAATGAACTACAGTAGTACAGCCTAGAAGAAACTTATAAATAAATAAAATAACAATTTCAAAATTTAGATGTTTATAATTTTAGAGATATTCCACAAATGCAAAAAAGCAGTGAAAATATTTGTTTAATATACACACTGGTGGACATATCCTGGTCATAAACGACTCCAAGATATCTGTAACGCATGCTGGTTTTCATCATTGTTTAGGTGGGGGCTCTGCATTGCTACCTGCACCCATCCCGCCAATCACCTTGCAAGAAAAGCTAGATGTTACCCGCAGACTTGCAGGTGCTGGTGCCACTATTCAGGAGCTGAACACCATACGTCGTGCCCTTTCGTTGTTAAAGGGTGGAGGGCTTGCACATCATGCTCACCCTGCACAGGTAACAGACAGTTTTTTTAGCCTTCTTTTAAACGGAGTTTAAAATTCTCAGTATTGTAATTTGTACGTCAAATATCACTCTTATAACGTCTTCACAGGTTGTTGCACTGATACTATCTGATGTGATTGGGGATCCTATTGACATTATAGCTAGTGGCCCCACAGTGATGAGTCAGGTGTGGCCTGAGGAAGTTTTGTCAATCCTTGAGCGTTACAAGCTGTTAAACTTGCTTCCGACATCAGTAAAGGAAGTCCTTGACAAACCGAATTCTAGGTGGAAAGAGCATAAGGAGGAATCTGATACATCGGGACATGTTCTCAATGCTGTGATTGGCTCCAACGGTGTTGCCCTTAAACGCGCTGGTCTCTGTGCTCGAGAGCTGGGCTTCCTCCCTGTAGTCCTTTCGCCAAGTGTGTGTGGAGATGTGCAGTCTGTGTCTAGACTCTACGGCCTGCTGGCCCGCTTTGCCTGTTCTCGAGAGGAACCTCCTCCTGACATTGCCACTGAGGTGCTGAAGCTGGGCCCTGAAGTTGGTGTGGAGAGCTGGGACCTCTGCCGTACAATGCAGGTTTTAGAAAAAGGGCGTACAGAGGGATGGGGTGCCACATGTCTGTTAGCTGGAGGCGAACCCACTGTGGAGCTAACAGGCAAAGGCCGAGGTGGTCGGAACCAGGAGCTGGCTATGCGAGTGGGGCTGGAACTGAGAAGCCTAGGGCTTCCGCCTAAAGGGCCAGTCTTTCTGAGTGGGGGCACTGATGGTCAGGATGGACCCACTGAGGCAGCAGGGGCGATTACTGATGGTGGTTTGTACGATGAAGCGAAAGCTCAGGGCCTGGACATCGACAACTTCCTTATCAACAATGATTCTTACACGTTTTTTTCTCGTCTTTCTGGTGGGCAGCGGTTACTCGTACCCGGCCTAACTTGCACAAATGTAATGGATGTGCACATGCTACTGATTCCAGCTATTCCTATTATCATCAGGTAATCCCAAAACACAAAAAAAATAATGGAAACTGAAGACATTTTTGCACCATATTTATGAATCTAAATGAAGGATTGTTGGTATTGGTAAATAAAGATGTAATTGGAAAAAAAAACACCTATATATGTAAAAGTATTACAACGCAAACAGTAAATGAACAAGTGTGAGGGTGGGGGTTAGCACTGTCGTCTTACAACAAAAAAAGTTCCCGGGTTTCTTTATGGAGTCTGTAGGTTCTCCCAGTGTCTTCTTGGGTTCTCTGTGGGTACTTCAGCTCCCTCCCACATCTTACAATGACTGAGTACATAATTTTAATTTCTGGAAATACACACTGCCATTGTAATAGTAATAAAAACACTTGTACAGTTTAAAAATCTCCACCATCCTTTAGTAGTTTTAATTAGATGTTTTGTTACAGTTGTTCTATTTTTTTCTTTTTTCTTTAGTTTTTTTGTTGTTGTTTTTAATTTATTGTAGTTTCCTGAGTGGTTTTACTCATTTTAGTTACAGTTTGAATATTTTTAGTTTTGACCAGTTTCAGTATTAGTTTTAAGTCATTTTTTAATTATTAAGGCATGATTTAGTAATGGTATTAAAATAAAAACAATAACTTTTAGACTTAACTCAAAGTCTTTTACACATCCTAATATGTTCATCAAAGCCTCATCAGGCAAGTTGTGGTAAAAACATTTTAGTAACTAAAGTAATTAATTTTAAAACCGAAGATTTTTTTTTTTTAATGTTTTGACTGTTTGCCAAAATATTGCTTAATGTAGATTTCAAATGAACTAAATGCAAAATGGCTGTTAAAATAAAGACTGAAGATATAAAACATGATCTGCTTTTATTGTGTCTGATTTTAAAATGACCATAGATGACCATTTATAATACAGCAAAGATTAAAAAAAAAAAACAAAATCACACAGTTCACTGCAAATTATTTGGATCATAAATATTCACATACACAAGTCAATGCAATACTCAAATCAGCGTATTATATATGTATATATATTACAAAAACTATACATGTGATCCTGTGTCATTACTTGGAAAATGATGACTTGTTTTCCTTTCATGCACCATTCAAGTACAGTCTTGATCACATATCACCAAGTGACCAGTTAAACACGTCCTTTTAGTTCTTTATGCACAATAAGGTCCTGCTCAGTGAGCAGTATCAAGAGGTCAAATTAAACATTGTATGAATAGTAGCCATGGCCACTGGCATGGCTAAGTGATTCACAGAAGGTGAAGCTGTCTCAACACCATCTTTAATCCATGGAAGGTAACGCTTTGTTAATGAAAAAAACAAAAACTGGTGTGCATTTCGTGTCTCTGTGGGACATACAAATTGTCCAGCCCTCACTTGGGTAAAGTCCAGCGATCAAGCTCCCATTAATCCCGATGAATCTTTGGACCATCCCCTGCTTTACCTTCCCTGCAAAGATAACAAAATCCAATAAACCATTTAAGTGTGGTGAAACATGCACTTGCCAGTCACTTTGTTAGGTACCTCTGTCCAGTCAACTGTGGCAGCAACTTACTGCATGGCACAAGTGCTAGACGAGCTGGTCTGAGTATTTAAGAAACTGCTGATCTACTGGGATTTTTTCATACAAGCATGTCTAGGATTTTGAGACACTGGTCTGAAAAGGAGAAAATGTCAAGTAAGCTATAGCTTTTTGGGCCAAAGTGCCCAAAAAGAGGTCAGAGAATTGCCAGACTGCTTCGAGCTGAAAGGAAGATGGCAGTGCCTCTAATACCCAACCATCAGAATTGGGCTATGCAGAAGAGCATCTCTGAATGCACAACATGTAGGGCATTGAAGGTGATGGGCCACAGCAGCAGAAGACCACACCACGTAACACTTCCTTTAGTTTAGTACAGCACAGAAACTGAGGCTACAATTCACATGGGCTCACTGATGTTGGTGCTGTAAACGTGTGGGCATATTTTCTTGTCAAGTTCTGGGCCTGAGGATCACAGCCTACCCGAGTATTGTTGCTGACCGTGTTCATCTCTTTGTGATCACAGTGTACTCATCATCTAATGGCTGTACAGCCAAAACACAGCTGCAGCAAGTGTGCGATGCTATTATGTCAACTTGAAACTTGTTGAATCTAAGCCATGGAAAATTAAGGCAACGCTGAAGGCAAAAAGAGTGTCAAACTGGGTGCTAGCAAGGTTTACCTAATAAAGTGACTGGTGATGGTGCGGTGGTAATGAACACGATTTCTTATTAATCACTTGTGCAATGCAAACGTGACCCCGAAATCGGCCACCTACCATCCACTCGTGTGTGCAGCTGTATCAGGTGTGCCTCCGTTCTGTCCGGTCCCTGAAAATCAACACACACAGATCAAGCTAGCGTGTTAGCGCTCACTTAGCAGGCAGCGCACCGGTAAGCAGGAGGAAAAACTCACCTTGTCTGTAATACATATCGTTCACTGTATTCCCATAGACTTTCCACGCGAAGTGAATGGCGATTAGACTAAAAATTAACCAGCTGAGGAGTATTTTGAATATGGACACTCTCATGTCGTTGGCGAGCCAGTCGTCTACAAACTCAGAGAGAAACGACAGGCAGCTGTCAGCGATGCGGGACAGAAACTCAAAGTCCCACGGCTCCTCCATGGCGTCCGCTTATTCAACTGGTGTCAAATTAAGTGACTGGGCTGCGGTGTCTGTTTTAGTGATTTATAAATCAGCACTCTGGTTTGGAGATGTCATATCCCCCATTTCTACCGTTATGATGTTTACGTACGGAGAGGAGAGGCAATCGGACGTGACGTAGTACGCAGGACGACTACTTCATCACGTACACAACAGAGCCTTTCAGCGCCACCAACACAGTGAAGTTAAACAAATGTGCGTGGATAAAAATCTATATTTCGACATCATTTGTCTAGGTTGTGTTATGGCCTCCCCCCTTTTTATAAAACCTCAGCTAGACCGTCAATCCCCTTCATGTGTGCCATGAAGATATGGGAAAGAGTCGTTGAAGCTCGTTTAAAGAGAGGTGACTAGCAGTGAGCAGTGAGAGTGTTGACGGAGAAGTAGGAAGGTCAGAGTTACCTGCACTGTGTGTTTGTGTATTTGAAGAAGATGATTGGTTGCCAGGAGAGGAACTGTGGTACTGTTTGAGAAGGCGGTCAGGAGGGACCCTGGTTAAAGACATGTATGAGGACAGCAAGACGGTAATGAGGTGTGCTATAGGAATGACAGATGTCAGAGGGTTCAAGTTGGGGACGGGAGTACTTGCTAGCTTTAGTATTAGCCACCAGTGTAATATGGAAAATGGAAAATACTGGATTTAAGTATTAGTTTAATCCAAAAAAACCCCCAACATTTTATTGGTCAATATAGATGTAAAAACATTTTTGTTTTAATTCACATTGGGGGTTTTTAAGTTCTCCGTTCCTTCTTTGTCACAGAAAGCGTTTCGCTGTATTATATCTGCTACAGCAGCACCCATACATGTGCTGCACGTTTATCTGAGATTTGTCTCTTCAAGTTTCTGTTACGAGCCCACAACCAGAGAGTGGGGAGGGGCGGGACTAACCGACGCCAGCGAGCGCGCTGATTGGTCAGCTGAAGTTGTCATCAGAGATTCCGGATGTCGGCTTCGGTAAGGGGAAAATTTGTTTTCTGCTTCTCATTCTTGACAGCTTGTTTGCAGTGGGGCTGCTGATGAAAGTCAGTGTTGACATTAGACATTCAGTCCAAGTCGTCGACGGTACAAAACCGTAAGTTTCACTCTTTCTCTGTTTATCCGGCTAATTTTAGATAGCCACGGTTGGCTGCATGAGCACTGTTAAGCCAAGGCCATGAAATTGATCTGTATGTGTCGCTTGCTAGCACCCAGTGTTAGCCGTGTAACTACAGTCAGCGTTCATTTATTAGTTACTTATTAGAAAGGTAAGCATTACAGGACGTCTGAAATTTATCGTGCATGTGTAGATAAGTTGTTATCATGCGGACGTTAGCGCTCTTTCTCTACCGGCCACTTAGTCCCGTTTCTCCGTGTTGATGTGTAGTGTAACATTAGACAGACTGCTAGCTGTAATCAGGTTTAAATTCCACAGTGTTAGTAACTTGGAGTTGGAGTAACTCTCCTCTGTAATCATGTGACCTGACCACTGGTCCAGTATGAGTGCTTCTATTCATAACAGACTGGAGATGCATGGGATCTTTGATTTCTATCTGCAAAAACTACAATGCATGATTTATAAAGCAGTTTATTCCTCTCTGTCTTTATTCTTTCCAGACACTGGGATGGTATCATGGAAACAGCCAATCATCAAGAAGGAGAGGCGGCGGCAGTGAAGATTGGTGATAGCCCTTTAGAGAGTAATCAACCTGGTAAATAAGCTACGTAATCACTCTTTGAAGCTTGTCTAATTTTAATCTTCATCACTTACATCACACGTTGGTTTTTGTTTTCATTGTAGCTGACTCATTGGCAGCCTCCTTCTCCCTTTTGGAGAATCACATGTTTCCTGATTCAGTAGAGAGTAATGGGAGCGCCGCTGTTAGCAGAATTGAGCCTTTGAATTCGCACCCACCAGATGTTTCGGCAGAGCATCTCGGTTTGGATGAGAAGCCTCCTTCTGACCAAGTGATGAAGCTAGAGCCCGAAGAGACAGAAACCGAGTGCCAAAACAACGCGTCCACGCAGCCAACTGATGGAACAACTGAAGATGATGCCACTGACAATGACCAGAACGACTCTGGGGAATTTGTTGTAACAATGCTGGCCAAGGCCAAGCTTGAAGAACAAGGTATAGGTGTGAAGGGGAGGTCATCCCCGCTGTTGGAGGCAGGCACACTGGAATCGTCGTCATTTACATCTCATCGCGATGAGGATGTTACAGCTGACAGCTGGCGGCAGCACAGGAAACATGTTTTTGTGCTAAGCGAAGCCGGTAAGCCCATTTATTCCCGGTATGGCAGCGAAGAGGCTCTTTCATCAACAATGGGAGTGATGATGGCGCTGGTGTCTTTTGTCCAAAGTGGAGATAATATCATTCGCTCAGTCTACTCAGGTAAGAATGTTGGGCATCGGCCAAAATGCAAATTTGAACAGATTTTTATCTATGATGGTTTTTTCCAGCCACTTTCATGTTCATATTCACTAAGTTAAAAGGAAATCTGACTTTTTTAAACACACCAACAAGAGCAAGCGTGGCTCTGACTCACTATACAGGGCAAAATTGTTTCCAGCTTGTCAAAAAGCTCCTGGACCATAGAGAACAGTATCTGAAATATAATAAGCAGTGCATTCCCTGTATTGTTTCATTTTGAGAACAGTGAGTTTAGGGGGTCGGTGGTATCCTTAGGAGCAGTTTTAGTTTTCATTGATTGTTTTTTTTTTTTGTTTTTGTTTTTTTCTAACATTTGCTCATGTTTTTTCCCCCTTCCCTCAGACGAGCACACCGTAGTGTTCCTGCAGAAAGGGCCCCTCGTTCTGGTGTGCGTCTCCAGCAGTCATCAGTCTGAGCAGCAGCTGCGGGGAGAGCTCCTCTATGTCTACTATCAGATCATCAGCATGCTCACCCAGGCCAGTATATCCCGCATCTTTGAACACAAGAAAAACTACGACCTGAGGAGACTCCTAGCGGGCTCAGAAAAGATCCTGGATGGTCTCCTCAACTTGGTGGATTCTGACCCCAGCTTCCTGCTATCGGCAGTGCACTGCTTGCCTCTAGCCTCCTCTCTCAGGGACTCTCTCAGCCAGATCCTGCAGAAAGCTATCACACCCAATCTGGTTTTCTCCATCCTCATCGCCAAGAACCAGCTTCTAACCATCGTCCAAGAAAAGACCGTCATTGAGGACTCGCGGCTGGAGCCTGCTGACGTTCACCTTCTGCTTAACCTCATTGGAGCGTCCTCTGCCTTTCAGGCTGGCGAGATCTGGACCCCCATTTGCCTCCCGCTCTTTAATCCTGACTGTTACTTTTATGCATACATTTCTTACCTGGACCCTCCAGAATGCACTGTTTGTTTGCTGCTGCTCTCGACAGACAAAGAGGCTTTTTACTCTGTAGCTGAGTGCAAGAGAAAGATAGAGGAGGCTATGATGGCTCAGAACTCCCTGAGCCTCATTGCCAAAGCTCAGACGTACAGTGTGAGCCAGGTGGGCGTCTCAGACCTCAGACACTTCATGTACAAGCCCTTTGATGTGCCAGACAACTACCGCCAGCTCACTCAGTTCACCAGGTGTGTGTTTGTTTGTGTATGCTTGCTGTCCTTGCAGTTGCATAAGGCTGATATGAGCCTAAACTAGATTTTAAAAATGCAAACATGCCAAGTGTTTGTGCTGCATGTTAGTTAGTGATATTTGTCTTGCATAACATTTTATTATCTTCTAGCTGTGTAGAAGCAGTGTAAAAACCTTTTGCTGCTAATGATAATAATCATGTGTGAGAAGTACAAAAGTGCCCACTAAGATATTTTTAGGCTTTTAGGCAACATTGTCCTGTCGGTGTTAGAAATGGAGTTTTAATAGTTTACAAATCAAGCATTGTGTGTTTCTCTTTCCACTACAGTGTTATTGAACATGTTTTGGGTGTTTTTGTGTGTAACTTGTGTCCTATGATGCTTTTCTGTACGTAGCCCAGAGATGGAGGCACCATACAGCAGTGAAGAGGAGAAAATGAGACTGCTGGATCTTTATCGTTATATGCACGGCCGCATCCACAGCACCTCACGACCCCTTAAGCTTATCTACCATGTTGCTGAGAGAGAAACTCTGCTAGCCTGGGTACGTACATTAGTTTGTGGTTGTATTCTTTTTTCCTGTGTTTGTCCAACTTTGAAAAGATTCTTCCAAAAGATCGACACTACACTCAAAACAGTCAACGACCACTTTATTAGGTACACCTTGCTAGTACCTGGTTGGACCCTCTCTTGCTTTCAGAACTTCCTTAATTTTTCATGGCACAGAATCAACAAGGTGCTGGAAACAATCGTCAGAGATTTTGGTTTATATTGATGTGATATCACACAGTTGCTGCAGATTTGATGCAAATTTGCCGTTCCACCACAAGTGGATTGAGATGTGATGACTGTGGAGGCCATTTGAGTACAGGGAACTCTTTCATGTTCAAGAAACCAGACTATTTGAGATTCTGGCTGGAAGCAGCAGTCAGAGGATGGGTACACGGAGGTACTAAAAGAAGGGACATTGTTAGCAACATTTTTCAGGTAGGCCATAGTGTTTAAACAATGCTCATTAGTACTAAGGGGCCCAAAGTGTACCAAGAATCCATCCCCCAAAGGAAGCTTGACCTTAATATCTGAATGTTGCAGAAGAAATCGAGACTCAACAGTGTTGAGTTGAGCCTGTGTTTCGCTCACAGAAGCCAGAAGCCCATCTGCTTCAATGTTCAGATCATTCAGAGGGGAGGGAGGGGGGGGGAATCAGCAGTTTCTGAAATGCTCAGACCTTGCCGTCTGCCATGAAAACCCACGGCTAAGTCACTCAAATCACTTCAGCAGAAAATGCAACCATCTCTACATGCCTAAATGCATTGAACTGTTGTCATGTGATTGGCCGATTAGGTAATTGCATTAAAGAGCAGTTGGACGGGATACCTTTAAAAAAAAAAAAAAAGTTGCCAGTAAGTGGCAGCTTAGCTTAGCACAAAGCCTTGGAACTGGGGCTTAATAGTCCATTCACTGGGAAGCTTTTTTCAGAAGGCGTTCAAAAAAGCTGTTAGCTTGCTTCCAGGTATTTTCCTTAGCTAAGATAAGCAGCTCCTAACTGAAGCATCATTGATCTTCTCATCTAACATAGCAAGAAATGTAATAGCTCTATTTCTTATTTCTAAATGTATATGTATTTCACAGTCTTCTCTTGATTGTTTTCTCCTTTACTCAAGGTCACAAGTAAATTTGAGCTGTACACCTGCTTCAGCCCCCTGGTGACAAAGGCCTGTGCCATTACTGCTATCACTAAGCTTCTAAGATGGATTAAAAAGGAGGAGGACCGTCTGTTCATCAGATACCCCCCAAAGTATTCAACCACTCCAAACCCCAGCAAAAGCTCTCGAGGAGGCAAATCTGACCAGCAAGACTCCACAGATAATGGCTTCTTATCTCTTCTATAGGACTCTGTTAGCACTAATAGAAGTGGCTCTGCCTCATCCAAAAATAGTTTGTACACTGGTTTCAAGATATTTTTCAACCCTCTTGACACTCATGAGACCGACAAACTTTGACCACTGGAATCCAACACTACGTTTTACACTATTTAAGGAGGACTGGTGTCTTTGAAACCGGTGTTATTAGTTCTCCAGGAAGCATGTCATCACATTGCTGCTTTTGAGCAGAAACAGGGCAGAAGCACATTAGTAGATTTTAAAATGAACTGTGGCAGAACATATTTGCAATGGTGTATTTAAGCTTTTTTATATTGTTTTATTACAGCAACAACATGAACAGTGAATGGAACATATGTTACATATTTAATGAGTTAGCATGAGGAGGAAAAATTAAGTTAAACTACCTTTGGCAGATAAGATAAGATAATCTTTATCTCCTCGCCCTAATCACGAAAATTATGTTGCATAACATAATGTCACAAAACAGGATATACAAGTTGTTAGCGTGTGTGCTTTTTGGGATCAGCATAAACTGGAATAAGAACTGGAACTGCCAGAGGAGGGAGAGGCCCGGCGTGAGTCACACGAGGCCACAAGCAGAATGTTTTTCCTTCTTCACAGAATTTGAAAACATGTCGTTTCTTATCTTGCTGATGTTTAGACTCAAAACAAGACTTTGAGTTTTATTGATGTTTCATTTTGTGCAGCAGATTAGTAGGAACCCCAGCCTGATTATTGTCACTGTTAAGTGTTTCCATTGAAACAAGGCAGACCTTATCAGTTTCTTGATAAGGTGGGAAGATGCCAATGAGCTCACATGTTTTGCTCTGCAGATACCTTTAGTATGACATCTAATGTAGTGAGTTCAGGTATTCTTTTTGCATAATAGTTTTCTAAAGGTGATCTGAAAAGTTGTTTCATCCTTGTGTCCAATGAGGAATTTCCTGTCAAGTCTTAAGAGTTTGTCTGTAGTGTTACAAAATAAATCCCAGGATGCATAAAAGCAGTTGTCCTATTTAAGTGGACTATTACAAAAAAAAATAAAAAAATCAGATGACTGTTTTGTGGAAAAAACCAAGTATGGGGAAAGCAGGTGAGCTTAACATGCCGTTTTGGGGATGTACTGTACAGCCAAGCAATAAATAAGAATGACAGAAATATATAAAACTTACTTTTAAAGTTATGGTTTGAAGGGAGTATGTCTTAATTAGTGCCACATTATATATGTCCTTACAAGAAACCCCAAATGACATAACTGGTAAATTGATTAAGCTGTTATTGATATCATGTCTTTGATTCTTAAATTCTGAACCTTCCATGCAGAAACCAAACTAGTGCTAGTTGAATATTTATCACCAGGAATTTCGCCTCAAACTATCAGAATCACCTTGTGTAGTCTAACGGTAAGTCCTGCATTCCACCAGCTTTAATGTGGCACGACTCATAACAAGTCCAGGCTGCTAACAAGTGTTAGCATCTTGTTTCTGTGCAGCTGTACTGTTCAGTATAGTCAAAACTAAAAGTAGGTGATGACTTTAGAGGAAGGGAAGGCATCTTGGTAACATGTTGGAGCAACTTGTCACCAAAATAGCTTCAAAGCAATTTGGCTTTAAAACCCACAGCAAGAAAAATGATCTTGCAGTTTGTAACAAATAAACAAATCTTAGATATGACGCAAAACAAGTTTTGTTTGGTAGTCGAACACACTGGCTTCATTAGACATACCTTGAACGAACCAAATGGTTTAAAATTAATGGCCCATTTTTAATTTTATCGATAAAAATATAGAAGCATTTTGTTATTCCCACTTATAAAACATAATTGCAGATATCTAAATATCCAACAAGGTGTGTAGTTAAAAGAGAGCATCTGCATCGCTTAACCAGCTGTTGCTGATTGAAAAGGAGCGAGGCTCCAACAAAAGGGCTGTCAGCTGAAATAATGAAAGGGAACATGTAACTCTGTAAGCCGGCACAGACTGTGGTAAAACATGTTGTTCCCAGTCAGCAGTGACCAAACTTTGTAGCAAATACAAACAAAATGGTAAGGTTATAAAAGGAAAACATATGGGTAAGATGTAAACTCAAAGCAATACGCCTTTAAAATATAAAATGTAGACACGAGTTGTTGTTTATGACAGAGCCGTAAGAAATGAGTCAATTTTGCACCAGTATCAAAACGCGGACAAAAATGAGGCTAGAGTGGGATAACGAGGGGCAATCCTTAACTGTGGATGTTTGGATGAAAGTGATGTTTGCTGATGAATCTGCAACTTTTGTCTGGCGTTGTTCTAATGTCATCGTGACATGTCAGGTAAAAGACCAGCAGAGAAGGCATTTATTACCTCACTAGTGAATGAACAGGTCTACACTGAAACGTTGGGCACTTTTCTCATTCCTCCGATTGAAAGTGGCTTTGATGATGATGAAGTCACGATAATGAAGATTTTCACCGAGCAAAGACTGTTAAAGCTTTCCTTCAGGAGAGACTCAGTAATTCAGTGATGTGGCCAGAAAAAATGTATGGTTGAAATTTAAAACAGTGATTTAGAACAACATAATTTCAAGGTATGTTTTACAAAGGCAGAATTTTCAGCTAATAAACAGAAATAGTTTTGTGTCATATGTGTGATTTATTTATGTGCTTCAAACTGGGAAAAGGGAAAAAAAAAGGCTGAATGAACTTCCTGTAAGTGTCTTCCAGTCCTATGGCTTAAAAGTCTCTGGATGTTTGGTTACATTGTAACCTTGGTTCTCTAAATAAGAGACCTAATGCAGCTTGTTCCATTCAAACTGTCACTGTCAGTATGTCTCCACATGCCCTGACTGGTGGGGTCATTCTCCATACATACTAGATATGAAGAAGTACTGATGCAATAGAGAACACCATCTTCCCTCCTTTGGTGGTCCACTCACTCCCTTCTGGTTGCAGCTGTTGTTGAATTTTGCGCTATTCAATTTTATTTATATAGCATCAAATCACAACATTAAGTAAAAGGTGGAAGCCCTTCAGAACAGATTTTCAAGTTCTATTAAAATATATTTTATTTTATTAAAATAAAAAGTTTGGACACGCCTTGTCATTCAATGTTTTTTCTTTATTTTCATGACTATTTACATTGTACATTGTCACTGAAGGCATTAAAACTATGAATGAACACACATGGAATTATGTAGTAAACAAAAAAGTGTGAAATAACTCAAAACACGTTTTATAGTTTAGATTCTTCAAACTATCCACCCTTCGATCACTGCTGTGCACGCTGACGGCATTCCCTCGATGAGCTTCATGAGGTTTGTCACCTGAAGTGGTTTTCCAACAGTCTTGATGGAGTTCCCAGAGATGATGAGCACTTGTTCCCTTTGCCTTCACTCTGCGATCCATCTCATCCCAAACCATCTCGATTGGTTTTAGGTCTGGTGACTCTGGAGGCCAGGCCATTCGGCAGCACTCTTCTTGGGCAAATATCCCTTAAACAGCCTAGAGGTGTGTTTGGGGTCATTGTCCTGTTAAAAAATAAATGATGGTCCAACTAAACGCAAACCGGATGGGATGGCATGTCGCTGCAGGATGTGGAATAAATCCCCAACAGTGTCACCAGCAAAGCAGCATCCATCACACCACCTCCATGCTTCACAGTGGGAATCATGCATGTAGAGACCATCCGTTCACTTTTTCTGCGTCGCTCAAAGACATGACAGGCAAAACCAAACATCTCAGATTTGGACTCATTAGACCAAAGCACAGATTTCCACTGGTCTAATGTCCATTTCTTGTGTTTCTGGGCCACAAACAAATCTCTTCTGCTTGTTGCTTTTCCTTAGTTGTGGTTTCTTAGCAGCTATTTGACCATAAAGGCCTCATTCGCTGTCTCCTCTGAACAGTTGATGTAGAGATGTGTCTGCTACTGGAACTCTGTGTGGCATTTATCTGGGCTCTAATTCAAAATCCTGCTCCTCACATACAAGGTCTTAAATAATCAGGCCCCATCTTATCTTAATGACCTTGTAGTACCATATTACCCTATTAGAGCACTTCGCTCCCACTCTGCAGGCCTACTTGTTGTTCCTAGAGTATTTAAAAGTAGAATGGGAGGGAGAGCCTTCAGTTTTCAGG